AAAAAAAAAAAAACTCCGACGTCCGACCGATTTCTCCGTCCAACTGGACGGAGAAGATGGCTTCTCCTTCTTTTTTTTTTTTTTTTTTTTTTTTTTTTAAAAAAAATTGACTAAAAAAATCAATTTTACCTGCTATTACCTTATGTTTACCTACAAATTGAGCCAATTGCACAAATTTAAAAACTTATGGACTTGATTGCATATAGGCCAATTTTAGGCCTCCACTTTCAAGAATATCAACTCCTCATGGTTCTCACACTCTTCTAAAGTCTTCACTAATGAGAGCATCATCCATTGGAGAACATTCATCAAATTCATCTTGCATGTTATCAATTTCACTCTCATTTACTTCTTCTTCAAATAGGGCATTTTGCAAAGATTCCTTGCCACCACCATCTTGAATCTCAATTTGAGTCTCAACCTTGTCTTCTTCCTAATTCAAATGATTGGATTAAGACTCCTTAAGAACTTCATTTTCAAGATTTTCCCTTACATTGTCATCCATCAACCTCATCCCCTTCATTTGATAAGGGCAACTCTTGTTGAACTTCTTCTTACTTTGTATTTGAGTCGTCATGTTATCCGTGGAGGTTTGTAACTCATCAAATTGAGAAGACGTTTGCATTATCAAACTCATCAACTTGTACATCATCTCGGTCTCTCAGTGTCGGATCCAGAAAATTATCTGAGTGGAGGCGAATATTAAATGATGTTAGAAGTGTCAATGACAAAATATCAAACAACCATAATAAGGTTAAAATACAAAATATATTATAAATTACAATATATTTATGAGAAAATATGAAACATAATCAATTAGATAAAATAATTTGAATAACAATATATTCATAAATACTTTTAAATTTTAATTTCTTTTAGTTAGATCGATTTTTTTCTAAATTAATTCGAATACAATAAAGTATATTATAAACCTGTATACTACATTAATTAAATGATTTATAAAAATAGACTAAAAGAGAATTTAATTTGGTAATTAAATGATTCATAAAAAGTAGACTAAAAATATTTAATTTATCTTGTGAAGAAATGAAAGAGAGAAGATAATTAAAAGTGTTGCTAATGAGATTTGAACCCATGACATAAACCTTTTATAGCATAAAACTTGAAGTTCAACCAACTAAGCTACTCAAACTATTAATATTTTCAACATAAATATAGATTTTATATAATATTTCATGCTATATATGTATACATATACAAACATATATATAAAGGGGTGGGGTGGGGGGAGTGGGGGCAGCTGCCCCCACACTGGGTCCGCCCCTGCGGGCTCTTGATCAAGGGATTGAAATTCTTGTTGAGACTCTTGGTAAGAGGGCTCTTGAAATTGGCACAAATGTTGATATTTAGGAGCCAATATATAGCAATTTTCGGCATTATATGCTCCTCCACAAATGGTACACCATAAATGTTGTGGCATAGTAAATGATGGTGTGCCTCCTTGAAAAGTTTCTTGACTCATGTAGACAAGATTGAGATGTACTTCTTGTTGTTTCATTCCTCCCTCATATTCCAATAATTCATTTCGTATCCATTGAGAGGAATTTGGAATGGTGGCAATTCAAGGATTCTTGAAACTTATACACATACATATTGAAAGTTCTTTTCGTGGATGAAATGCCAAACTCCACCTTGATCTAAAATAAACGCACCATGCAAGGTACATTTATCCGAAAATCCCAAACAAGATTGAGCAATTAGCACTTGAGCACATAAGGCAAAAAAAAAAAAAAAAAAAAAAAAAAAAAAAAGTCTAGTCTCCTAGAATAGTCATTCACCAATGTTAACTACCACAAAACAATCAAAACCAAGTCATCCCTGGCAACGACGCCAAATTTGATAAGGACGGTTTTCACAAATCCATCAAGTATCAAATCACAATATAGAGTTTAGACATCGTAGAACACCCAAATAATCCCCTTTATGCAATACAACTTATATAGGCATCAATAGCAAGAAATCAAGCCAAATCCTACTCCCAAAACATTAAGCTACTCATAATATAACAATAGATATACAATATTAAATGAATAATTGAAAACATAAATGAAAAGAAAAGGGAAGAGATAAATAGAAAATTTCTCTATTAAAGCCTTGAAATCCAAGATTGCAAAGTGTTCATAAGCTTGGAAATGGAAAGGAACAAAGAAATCTACACTAGTCTAAGCCATTCTAGAGCTAAACCTAACTAGGAAGTGAAAGATATGTTTTTCGGTGAAAAAAAATCCTCTTTTAAAGGGGTAAAAAAGTGGCTGATACATGTTGTAGAGATTGGGCATGGGAACGGGCACGGGTGTGCCTATACCCGTGCCCAGAAAAACATGCCTACTGCCATGTGGGCACGGGTGTGCCTGGACCCGTGCCCACCAGGCTTAATTCCTGTGCACAATATCTGTCTTCTAGGTTAATTTTCACCCTCGAAACCTTTGAATTAGTATTTGTGGTTTTCATCAAAGTTGTAGCCCTTCAAGTTGGTTGTCTAATGGCATAAGAATTACGTGATTCAGATACTCCTACGCTGAGATATGGTCAAAATACTAAGACAGGGCCAATTTGGGCGAGAAATGCCACCTTACTATCTTTTGCTTTGCATTTGCATTGAATTGCCTATATCATCAAGAGTACTGCTAAGACACAAATATTTGGCACATGAAAGAGTGTTGTTCAATCTTCTTCTCTTAATTTTTACCTCATAAAAATATCCTCATACTATGATGACTTGAAATCTTGATCAAATAGCTCAATGTTTGACTGAAAACATCATTTTCTTGTCAAGTCACCTAAGCACAAACAATCATTCCATAAGTGACCAAATTGTCACCATAATATAATGATTAACAAGTAAAAATACCAAAATGTGAAATGGAAAAAACATTAGTTTAAGACATTCATCAGAGTGCTCAAACATTACATCGTAGTTGATTTTATTTTGGAAAAATTAGGCTACAACATTCCTAGTACTAAAGGAAGGTAGCAAATAAAGTTTTAAAAAAAGACTGTTTCGCTTGACTTGTACTAACACTTAACCTTTCGTTTCTTGTGCCTGTATGTTTCCAAAAATAATATTTTCGTAATATTATTTCCCTACACTAAGAAAACAGAAGAGTTGTAAATATTAAAATCATGCATGGAAAATGTAAAATAAACATAAAGAGAGTTATAAATATTAGGGAAAAGGTAAAAATAGGCCATTGAACTATTTGGAGATAGCAATTAAGCCATTGAACTCGAATAAGCTCCAAATTCATCCATGAACCTAGAAAAAAAGTGCAATTAACATTTTTAGCAGGTTAACAACAAGTTTGAGCTGATTGGGATGCCATGTGTATATTTTATTAGTATTATATCTTACTAAGCATATGACCATTGACCAAAGAGTCAAAATGAAATAAGAAAACCCTATTTCTTCTCTTCTCCCTTGTGCAAGTTTGTCGCCAACTTCGAACGACTCTGAACTCTCCGGCTCAGGCCGCCATGGACGGTGGGATGAAGTAACGGCGATGGTAAAGTATACCTACGGTGAGACGCATGTGAGACTTGCATAGTTGCATATGTGGTCAACGTTCGAAAAAAAATAAAGATAGATAACAAACGTATTTGGGAGATGCGTTTCTGACTTTCTGACATCAAACGCATCTCCCAAACGCTCATTTCCCATTCTAGTCCAAGATTTAAAATCTTCTCGTTTTTGTCAACAAATATTATTTTCTACCTATTCCAGTCTTTGATCCACCCTCAACACACCCCGTGGGCAGTGTAACTTTTTTTTTTTTAATCATTTTGTGGGGCCCACCTTTGAGACAAAAAATCATTCTTCTTGCAACACTTTTTCTCCTTTTCTCTCCCTTTTCTCTTTCTTCCACCTCATCCACAAACTATGAAAAAAAAAAGCAAAAATTCACAATTGAGGATGCCATTATAGAAGATTTATTTGGGAAGATTGAACTTTGTCCAGATTATGTACCTGCACTTAATATATTATGTACATTCAGTTAATAAATTATGTATCTATTACAATTAAAATTATGTACTATGTAATTATTACATACTTTCAATTTATTTTTAAGTATATAATCAGTTAACTAAATTATATAATATGTTACTGCAGATACATAATCTAATAAATGTTATTTTGGATCCTAGTCTACGTTATAATATGCACTTGTTGATTTGGAAAGCTAGAAATGAGAATTACTTTGAATAAAATTGGGTAATTCTTCCGGTTACTTGGCAAGCCCCTCTAGGCTCTATACATATAAGTGATATAACACATCACAAAACAAAAACAAAACAAACAAAAAAACTATAAAAAAAAAAAAAAAAAAACTAAAAACTAAAATTCTCCTCACACAACAGATTTAGAGCAAAGCCACTTAGGATTTAAAGTTAGAATTCAACATGTGTGTTGCCCAATTATTGAAACAAAAGTTCTCCTCTTCAGTCCCCTCTTCTTCCTGCTTCCTGAGGAATCAAGTAAAAGAGCAAAGAAACTAAACTAATGTCTTTTGTCCCTATCCTCAACAACAAATCCCAAATGGCTATCTAGTTTAATTTGGGATACACATTCTCATCACATGGAAATTAGCCTCTTATATATTTTTGCAGCCTGCAAGAAGATGTGGAAAAAAAAAAAAGGCCATCTTACTTTGGCCCTGTTTGGTAAAAAATTGGCCTATAGGTCAATTTTGGCTTATTTGATCACTATTAATTGTTTGATTTAGTTAAAATATCAATATAAATGTTTGGTTAATTAGCTTTTTGCAACTCCAAAAGGCTAAAATTAAAAAAGCTACTCCTAGCAACTTTTTCAATTAGCTTTTTGAGAAAAAAAATTATATCAAACAGCTAATTTACCAAACACTTTTCTACAATCAGCTAATGTTATCAACTATTTATACTCTATAATTAACACAATCAGCTAACAGCAAACAGCTATCAGCTAACAGCCATTTTACCAAACAGGGCCTTTATCTTTCTTTAGTCAATACCTATAAATTTGCAGATATGACATTCAAGTATCACATGAAACTTGTTGTATGTAACAGATACATATTCATCTCAACAAAACAAGGAAATTTCAATACATTTTCCCTCCAAGTTGCTTCAAAACCTTTTTCTATTTAATTTCATAAAAAAGTTGTGCCAATCTCTTCCTCTACTCCTCACCACTCTATTTGCATATTTTGCTTACTCTGCAATAGCATCTTACATCCACAAGGAATCCACAGCTCTCAATTATCCTTAATGCCCTGCCAAATGAGAAACATTTGGCTGTGTTAAGGAATGCCAAATATAATTTTTTGCAGTGATCTGAGTTTTTGCACTGACCCCGGTGTCCCACCCCTTACAGGGTACTTGCTGGATATTACCACAAACTCAGTCTTCATCCACCAAGCTATGCCCCGGGGCCAGTCATGTTTTATATATACTAGATCTTATAGTATGTTGGAATTATTTAGCAAGATAAGTTTCTGTGTACATACCATTTTCAAATGGTAAGGTTATTCATTGTGATCTCCGCTAAGTCCTCTTGTACATGTGGATATGGTGATTGTTCATATTCAAGCTCATCGATTTTGATCTACGGAAAATGGCGAGAACAAAATGAGGTTAGACAATGAAAGAACGCAACAGACATATCATAATGACAAAAACAAATTGCAGAGTTGTTAGCAACCTTAAGGGTGAAAGTATTGCTAGTAAACGGCTCCACAGCCTCTCCATTTTTTATTTCATAATTTTTAAAAGTTATACTTAATTAGACTTGCAAATCAATATCAATCTAATAGAGACAGAACAAAATAACCAAGCAATTCTTCTTACCTCTACATCTCCAATACTTGAGACTAGCAGCTTTCTAGCTTGAAATTATTTAAAAAAGGTATTCAATTAGCATATACCAATCTACAAAAGCATAGTTGTACTTGGGATTAATTGCAAAGAAGAAAAGAAACAGAAACAGAAACAGAAACAGAGATGTAAAGTAGTATATTAATCATCCCATATAGCCAGGCACCAGATGATATATGAATTTACCTACTTGGCAGCTTGCCCAAGTGTAGCTTCTAACCTCAAAAATGTAGTTTCCCATTTCAACTTGCCAGTCTCGAAGCAACTCTTTTATAGAAGGCATTTTCCAAGTCACTTGTAAACCTTTTCAAACTCTCCTGACTACCTTGTTTACATGAAAAGAATGAGACAAACACATTATCAGAAAAACAAATTGCAGAGTTGTTAGCAACTATAATTCTAGAGAAATACAGCTTCGCCAATGTAGAGGTGTATGTTTTGCAAGATAATTTCATTCTGTGATTCTAGAGAAATACAGCTTTCTCATTTTCTATTTCATACTGTTAGTTGTTGGAAAAATTAACATTTCGTCCATTTATCCTAACAGAAAAAGTAATCCTATTTTATCTTGGAATTAATAGAAGATAATTAGTACCCCGGAGTAATTGATAAATTGTGGTTCCATAGTTATGAAATTAAATTACAAAGCAACATCAACCTAATATAATTTCTGTTGGGGAAAGGCATGCATATTCTGCAAGTTCAATTCACTGTGATCTCCACCAAGTCCGCATATCTTCTTCAACTGGATACGGTCATTCAAACCAGCATGGACGGAGCCAGAGGGGGGCAGGGGGGTCAGCTGCACCCCCTCACCCCACCCCCACCCCCACCCCCACCCCCACCCCATATATAATCTTTGTATGTATATGTGTATATATAGTACTTGTTTGAATATTAGTATAAAAAAACTGTTAATTATCAATAGGAAATGAGTTAGATTAGTTGGTAAAACATGTATTTGGTTATAATGAAGGTCAAGGGTTCAAACCCTTTTGTTGTCAATATAATTTTACAGTTTTTTTTTTGGCTCCTTCCCTATCTATGGCTTTAACAGTCACGTTTTAATAGCTTTTTAAATATTTAATACACACGCATACAAACATATATATTCAAATTCGATGTGTTTTATGTTTCGCCCATATCCAATAATATTTACATCTATATTTCTCAAGTACTTTATTTATTTATTATTTAAATATCTTTTTTATTTTAATGTTTCGTCTTTACTGGAAAAAATTTCCGAATCCGTCTCTATTTCGCCCCCCCTCAATGAAATTCCTGGCTCCGTCCTTGCAAACCAGTCAATTTTGATCTATGAGAAATGGAGAGAATGAAATGAGATCAGAAAAAAAAAAAAAAAAATAGTAACAGCTTTAATTTTGTAAAGAATGTAAAAGAAAATAAAAATTAAGAATGAAGCATGAAGCATGATGTAGCCTCTAACCTCAAACATTCTTCTTCGTAATTGATGCAGCCCTTATTGAATGAGAGACAATTGAAACTAAAATCAGAGAGATTAATTAAGCTCCCTTCTTAAGCAGATGCAACATGCCAATTACCACCGTTAAATGCCTCTAGGAGAGATAATTAAGCCCATCAAGATTATCCAAATTGATGGATTGCTGCACAACTCACAGGTGGAATTGGGCTCTAAGTCATCTTTAATGGCCTGCAAAACAATACAACTCAATTTACTGAGTAACCTAAGGTTTGAATTGAAGATGAATACAGGGTAGATGAAGTCATTTGGAACCAATTCATTTGTAACCTTCAATTATCTGTACAAGATAGCAACACCATTTCATTTCATCTCACGTGCAAATGTAAATGCAGATACAAAGAGACATGCAACCTCACACATGCCATTTTAAACTAACTGTTAGTTCACTATGAGCCCGGCCAAGTTGTCTTGTACAGGCTCTTTTATTTGTGATTCATTGCATTCAGGGATTTTGATCTACGAAAAAATAGTGCATGCAAAACAGAGAAAATAAAATGAGATCAGATCAGAAAAAGAATGCATCAAACATCATCATCACAGAAACAAAGTTGTTAGATAGCAACTGTAGATCGAGGTGTAAGTTTTGTAGGATAATTTCATAGTGTGATTCTAAACTTGTCCATTTTTTATTTCATACTGTTAGTTGTTGGCAAATTGAATGTTTCATTCATTTATCCTAACAGAAATACTAATTAGTAGTTCAATAGTTGTGAAGTTAAAATAAAAAAAGCAACATCACCTGAAGACTGACTACAGGATCACTGTAAAATGGATATAAATATAATCAATGTCGATTATGAAGGAGTTTTTAGAATTATAATAAGCCTTGACAAATCATCAATATCAATTAGTGAGAGGCACAACTGTTGAACAAAATATATAAAATAAGTGTAGTCTCACTAAATTTAAAGTTTTTGTTGGAACAAAACCCATCTATCTATCCTTCAATTAGAAGGAAATAACTAATCAAGTCTTCTTACCTCTACATCTTCAATACTTGACTACTAGCAGCTTCCCAGCTTGAAATTTTTTTCAAAAAGGAATTCAATCTGCAAAAGCACATTAGTACTCAGGATTAAATATATTGCGAGAGGTAGAGAAAAGAAACAGAGATGTAAAGTAGTATGATAATCACATATAGGCATGCACCAGATGAGATGAAATAGGAAGGTGGAAATACCTTCCTAGCTTGCCCCACTCACATATACTCATGAAGTAGTAGTAGATCTTTAATCACCAACATACATCTTTATCCCCTTCACAATGTTTGCTAATAAAAAGTTTCAGTACCACCAATTATCAACTTCTGGTTACTCGATCTGCAGGTTTCTCCCATTAATGAGCAAGACACATGTAACCTAACACATACCGTTTTCCAACAGTTATTTACTATGAGGCTGGCCGGCCAAATCATCTTACATACACAATTCTGTATGTGTATTCTGTGAGTCATCATATTCGGGACCAAGAATTTTGATCTATGAAAAATAATGCAGAAAAACAAATGAGATCAGAAAAAAAAAAAAAAAAAAAAAAAAAAAAAAAAAAAGAAATACTAACTGATTTTGTAAAGAAAGTCAGCATTGAATAAAAAAGAAATAAAAAGAAACATGATTTAGCTTCTAACCTTAACATCCTTGAATCTTCTCTTCTGTTGTAACTCCTTGGCAGAAGCGGCAAGGGAAGAGTGACACCCCTCCAACCCGATTGACTCCAGCAACGGTATTCTTTCAAAACACTCCGGGATCTGTTCTAAACAATTACAGGATCTTAAGACTAAGTGTTTGAGCATCCGAAAGTGCTTCTGGCCAACTACCCACTGCTTGAGTTCTTTAGCTTCAAGCAGCAAGAATACTAGTACAGGAAATCCTCCTTTAGATAGTGAGTTCCATACTGTTCCATGGAAGGCATTTTCCAACTTGAGCACCTCAAGTTGGGGTAACTTGGCAATTACATTTAAATCCCTCTCAGAAATATTAGTCCCACTCAACTTCAACTTTTTCAGTCCCAAAGGATACACACACTCTTCTGGAAGGGCTGCATTCAAACCAATAGAATCCAAAATGCTAAGCTTCTCGAGCCCTTCCAAAAAGTCAAAATGATCCAAAATAATAGGATTGCTGCAAGACCCTCCTATGTGACTGGGCTCTATGTCATCCTTCAAGAAAATTTTCAGATTTTTTATGTTAGGGAACTTGTTGTACACCTTTTGTCTGCAATGAATTGGTCTCACCACCCAAGATAATGTTTGTAAATTATTTTTATCTGCACTTGGAGGATCTACCATATATGAATTGCCAAGTTCGAGATGCCTTAAGTTTGGTGGCTTCCAAATACTAGATGGCAAATGGACTGTGGGTGCTCCATTACCGGAAACAACAAGTGTCTCTAAATTTGGATTATTTGACACTACATCATCCAGATCCTCAAACCATTGTGTTATGGATAGGTATCTCAGAAAAACTAAACCTCCTAATTGCACTGGCATTCTTTGAAGTGATATAGAAGTATCAAAAGCCAAAACTCTTAACAGTTTGGGAGGTACAAACATTTCAGGATTTTCAAGAAAGAAGAAAATGGAGCAAGGGATGTTCGTACCAAAGAGCACATAATAGTCAAAACTGTGTGAGTAAGCACTTAGCCAACGACAGGAATTTGTAAATGCTTTTAATGATAATCCTGAATGTTGTTGAGTATTTACTGCACATAAAATACCTCCTTTTTGAGCTTCTCCTATGCAGAAGCTATGTAAGGCACTGTGCATTCTACAAGTCCTTATTTTACCGTTACAACTTCGATCTTCAATTAAGAGAAGACTTCTATCAGTAAGCTCTTGTAAGTACTCATAAGCTTCATCTTCAAACTCCTTATGTTTCAATGGATTCACAAATCCCTCGGCTATCCACAACATTATAAGCATTTTAACCAGAATTTTTTTACGTTTTGGGAAGACTCCAAAGTATAGAAAACAAACTTTCAAATGATATGGCAACATATCGTAACTAACACTGAGTGCATTGCGATCTAGAAGTCCCAATGACTCTAATTCCTTTTCAATCTTTTTCCACCCTTGTTGTATGTTGTTGCATTTAGATAAACGCTTGGCAACTTCAACAATTAACTGGGGCAATCCATCACATTTCTCCACAACATGGTTCCTAATGTTTTCAAATTTAGGTCCAAGTGCTCTTCATCTATAGAAAGGATATTACAAAATAGTTCCCAACTTTCTTTTGGATCTAGCAAAGTCATCTTATGGGTATGGACATTTATTATGTTGAAGTTGTGTATAGTGCTTAGTAATATGAAACTTCCATTTAATCCATTATTAACACAACTTATGATGTCAATCCAAGCTTGCTTCCAAGTTTGCTTGTTCGTAATGTTGTCCAAAACAATTAGATACTTCTTACCACCAAAGCATTTGCTTACCTGCATTGATAGTTCGTGAGGAGTGCTTCCCTTTTTAATTATATTTGGCACTTCTACTGGTGTAATTGAGTGAAGAAGTTGGCTTAGCATTCTGGTTGAACTGTAGTGTTGACGAGGAGGTATAGTAACCCAAGCTCTTACATCGAAATAGGATGCAACTGATGGATCTTCATACACATTTCTTGCTACAGTCGTCTTTCCAATACCCACCATTCCAACAATTAAGATTATATTTTGTTCAGAACTGCCAGAAAAGAGTTGGTTCTTTATGAGTGTACAATCACAGTGACGACCAACCATTCTGCCCTCAGGCTTTAGAATGTTAGATATACAATAATCTAACCATATTGAACTATAGTATACGAGAAACCTAACCTCGTATGATAGCGGAAGCGTAGCCGTCTTGATCTCCAGCCATAGTTGATGTTCCTGTTGTGTTGCCTCTTAACGGTAGACCGTCAGCCATGTTTTGCCTCAGACCTGACTCAGAACCCTAGATGGTGTATTGGTATCTACTGAGCGGTCTGAGTACCGTAACTGAATGTGCTAACTAATTCATAATCCTGTATCCCATCAATCCAGGTTATATTAGGCACAGAGTTTGGTTGACTAACAACTACTAGTTATTAAGTCCAACCAGACCACTTAGTAAGCCTAGTCAACTGCCAGATGGGCTTGCAAAACAGAAAGAATTTCAAGGAAAGACTTGATTCTTGCAAGATCTGGAGAGAAGGGCTTACCCTTGCTGTTTGGCCAAGAAACTGAATCTCAATGGTTTTAATGAGAGAAGTTAAAGCAACACAAGCCATGTATGTATGTAGTTTTATGTTTTGGTATTGCACACTGAAAACTAGATCGATCAAATATGCAAACAATAATCTGATCTGAGAAGAGCTAATTAGCTTGCTGCCATATTTGTTTTTATTGTAATTTTATTAATAACTAAAGATAAACATCTAAAGTTTATTATAATCTGAAATTAAAGTGATTGAGGACGTGATCACATGAATGCATTATTTCTCCTCTCAACTTTTTTCAAACTTTCATTATTAGAATCTTCTGTCCTACCCACCATGCTTTATTTTGTAGTCTTCTTGCCCTACTCTACCCTACAAATCACTTCCATATCAACTTCATATATAACTAAACAACTTTAAAAAAAAAAAAAAAAATCATGGTTCTTTATAAACTAGTATTTGCGCCCTGCGTTGCACGGAATGAATTTGTTATAAAATTTTAAAAATATTTATATCGATATACAATTGTATAAATTATAAAATCGAATATTATATAATATAATTGAAGAATTGAGTTGCACCGATTATGTTTTCTGATGTTATCAATGCTTGAATTCGAATAAATAATTGCCCAATTAATAGCTAACGTGTAGATATACGCATTCGGTGTTGTAACTTTAGAGATTTTATATATCAGTGTTTATAATTTGTATTAATTGGGCTATATCAGTTATATAAATTATTTATACGGAAGATATATTTTCTATGTAGATCAGCTGTATAGCAATTTTGTCATTTTTGTATATAAAAAAAAACATAATATCAATGGCTTAAATTATACATTATTGAAAATCTCTTTATAGCTAGACGACATTGGTAGTAGTAACGAAATTTTATCCATCATCGTCTAAAGTTAAAACTATCAGACTATCAGGATGGGTGACTCGGAAAAAAGTAATATACAATTAACCGTGATCAAAGACTGATTTTTTCAGTAATAACTCAAATATTATATAGTGCAATTAAAGATATGGTTTCGTCCGTGAATTTGTTGTAATATATTAAGAATATCTGGATTGATATATAATTATTTAAATTAGAACATTAAATATTATATAGTGCAATTGAAGATATAATTTGGATCGTTTATATGTTTTGATGTTATCGTTGCTTGAATTTAAACAAATAATTGCTCAAATTAATAGCTAATGTGTAGATATACGCATGCATTGTTGTAACTTTGAAGCTTTTATTTATCATTGTTTAGTATTTTTATAATATAAATTAGGCAAACGTGCTCATTCTTTAGCAACTCAGTTATATGAATGAATTGCTATCCTAATTCATTTGTATGAAATTTTTTTTTTTTTTTTTTTGTCTAAATTGCTTTAAATTTTTTTTTTTTTTTTTTTTTTTTGTGTAGATATATAGCAATTTTGTCATTAAAAAAAAAAACATAATATCACCCATTGTATTTACACATTATTAAAACCTCATATTGTAGACGACATTGGTAGTAGCAACATAATCTTGTCCGTCATCGTCTATAGCTAACATCTTCAGTCCATTATAATGGGTGACTCGGGTGAAAATATATCATCGTAAAATATCAGTCAATTAGTAATATCATATTCATTTTAAACAAATTATTCTTTTTATTTTCCGTCAATTAATCAATTAGAATATCATATGCAATGGTATTTTTACCTAATTTTAGTTTTATTTTTAATTGGTGATGTAGAATATTATTATTGAAATATTTCTGTTCCATTTTTAATTTACCTTTACTATTGTTTAAAATATGCCTTTACTATTGATGATGTAGAATATTATTATTGAAATATTATCTTTTCATTTTTAATTTACTTTTACTTGTTGATGTAGAATATTATTATTGAAATATTTTCGTTCTATTTTTAATTTCCGTTCTTTTGTTTTAAACTTTGAAAGATTTATTGTGATATAATTGGTTCACATATTTCAATTATTTATTTTTTTCTTTAATTATTATAAAAAGAAACAATATTGTACTAATTAATTTATGATATTTATCAAATTGTAATTTTTTAAAAATATAAGATTTACACATGTTATGAGGGGTTAAAAAAATATTTTAAAATGATTTTTTATTAGTATGAATTTTTATTTTAAAATATTTTATAGCAATCCAAACACTCCATTAGCCTCCCATAAAAAACTGATAAAAGAAAAGCCATTTCATTAAGGAAATTAAAATTAATTAAAGTAAATCAAATCATACTATATTTATTTGTAACTGTATATTAATTTCATTTTGAAATCATTGGTTCACACATATGAATATTTTTTAATTATTATAATTTATAAACAGAAATGATATTCTACTAATTAATTTATAATATTTATCAAATTGTAATTTTTGAAATAGAAAACTTAATTCATTCGATCATTGGCAAGAATAGGAACAAGATAATGGGGCGGTAAATCCAACCACTCCCCAGGACCTGACACAGAAACGGCATCCCGTGCTATAGCATGAGTTGCACGATTCGCAGATCGCCTAACACAACTGAAGTTAACCCCGTTAATCATTGAGGCAACTTGTTTTACATCATCCACTATAAAACCAAAAGCAGAATAAAAAGAGTCCGAGTACAAAGCATAACAACATAACTCTGAGTCTGTCTCAACATCTACCTCTCCCATGCCAGTGTGTTGCATCCAAACCAGTGCTTCCCGGATACAATAAATCTCAGCTTCCGCAACTGTGAACTGCCCCTGCACCCGTACACTCTTAGCAGCCATAAAATACCCGTGATCATCACGCAAGACCCAGCCTAACCCCATGATATTATGGACCGAATCCATTGCCGCATCAGTGTTCAACTTCAATCTACCCACCGCCGGCCTAGTCCACGTGTCCACGGACAATTGGTGCTCCTGCCCATGCACCCCATTTTCCCTTGCGGCATTCCAGTTTTCCCAGTAGGATAATGACCTGCGCAAAATAACCTCCTTATTGAAATGGACCCCACGCCACACAGCATCATTCCTACTTCCCCATAACCCCCAACACAGCATCACATACTTGCATTGTAATTGACCCGTTAAAACAGATAATTGAGCAAAGAACCACTCCTGTACATTACCGTGAATAGTCCCCAAAGTTGGCAGATTAATATCGCCCCAAATCGCGCTGGCCCACATACAATCACGGAACAAGTGTTGAGCCGTTTCTTCCACCGCACCGCACATATGGCACTGAACAGTACACGCCACACGCTTAGAAAGCAAGGCATCCCGAGTTGGCAAGATTGCCATTGCTAACTGCCATGCAAAGACATGGACCTTCGGGGGAACCTGTAGATTCCAAATCAAATGCCAAGGTTTATCAACATGCAACTCACCTGACAGCATCCTATAACAGGATTTAACAGTATAAATACCCTTAGAATCCCCTTTCCAAACCCATGCATCATTAGGACTGCGTGTACTCACCGGCAAATTGAGGATGCATTCCGACTCCCTCCCATCAAACAAATCCATTACACACTCGCGATCCCACCCGGTTCCAGCTTCATTCATCAACGAACTGACCGGGGCATTTATTATTGTCTCATGCAACGGAGTTCTCACATAAGGATCCTCAGCTCCTACTAGCCATGGATAATTCCCAATGGTGGTTGTTCGCCCATCTCCTATGCTCCGCCTAGCCCATTGTTTAATTGCATCTTTGGCCTCAACAATTCCATGCCAAATATATGAAGGATTATGGCCAACCACTGCATCCCAAAACGTTGTAGTGGGATAATATCTACACTTGTAAACCTGCGCCACCAACGAATCCGGGCGTACAAATAGTCTCCAGGCCTGTTTTCCAAGCAATGCTAGATTCATTCCCCTTAATGTCCTGAAACCCAAACCACCCTTATGCTTCGGCTTACACAAAGACTGCCATGACTTCCACCGCAACCCCGTTCCTCCCACCACTTTCCCCGTCCACCAATACTGATTCAGAATAACCTCTATTTCCCTGCACAAGGTTATTGGCAAGCTGAAGACCATCATTGCATAGCTTGGCAATGCCTGCAAAACATTCTTCAACAAAACCTCACGGCCCGCCCTTGATAAGAACCTGGTGTTCCAACCTCTTACTCTAGACAGAATCCGATCTTTCAGAAACCCAAGGATAGCCTTCTTCCTCCGGCCTACTAGCGAAGGCAGACCAAAGTATCTCCCCGAAGTGTCCCCCGGGGAAACCCCCAAGATATTAACAACATGATTCCTACTAGTAGTGTCAGTGTTCGCACTGAAGCAGACCAGTGACTTATCATAATTCACCAACTGGCCTGACGCACCCGCATACACATCCAAGATCTCTTTCATCCGGATACTCTCATCAACGTTTGCCCGCAAGAAGAGAAAGCAGTCATCTGCGAACAGAAGGTGGGAAACTGGTGGTGCCCCTCTAGCCAACTGCACCCCATGCAACAGTCCTCGACTCATACGGTTTTCCAATAAAACACTAAGCCCCTCAACGACCATCAAGAACAAATAAGGCGAGAGAGGATCGCCCTGTCTCAG